ACTAATATGTGAAAAACTGAAATAGACACAAATTCCCTGCACCGAGGAATAGTCTAAGTCAGTGGTGGCGAACCTAGGGCATCTGTTTGTATTGATGAAATCTCTAAAAGGCTCACCAACACTGATCTGAAGATTGAATGAAAAATAGGGAAGCCACAGAAGTGGTCTTTGTAGGGTATCTACTACGTGCTAGGTCCTCTCTTGTGGTTCTGTAACAAATCTGTTTCAGCAATCAGCACATTTCCAGTTTTGTGGGAGATGATAGAAAATAAAAACATCCTGACCACTATAATGTATGAATTGCTAGGAGAGAAGAAAGAGGTACTGAATTCATTAAAGGCAGCTAGGGTAGATTATTAATGTTTGAAGACCAAGAAGGAATTGGCCAGGTACAACATGGGTCTCAAACTAGAAAGGTTTTCAAAAGGAGATGGAATAGGGGGCCTGCCCAATAGCTCAGTTGTTTAAGTGCCTGTTTAAACAAAGACCTCAAGATCAAGCCTCTGTGGTTCGAACCCAGATAGTCACGGCAAACCAGAAATACCCTAAAGGCATCTTCAGGCACCCCCCCCCCAAAAAAGGAGATGGAATAATATACACAAGACCTGTAGGTGAACGAGTTTGGGACATTTGAGAAAATCCTGTGGTTAACTATGATGCCCAAGGAAGGTGCTCATGGGATCACTTAGAGTGACACTGTGTGCACAATTTAGCAGGTGCCAGATCATAATGAAACTCTTATGCCATGTACTCCTGGAGACATTTATCCTGTGGGTACTGGAAAGACACTGAAAGGCGGTAAATGGGAGTGTTACTTAATTCAATTTGCATTTTAGAAATATCATCCTCAAAATAGTGAGGAGCATGGTTTGGACTGGTGGAAGGGAAAAGGATTAGAAGAGAATTTATACAAATTTCTACTGTCACAAATATCCACCTAGCAGCATCTGAGGCCAAGTGCTCCATCTTTTCTACTGTTGCTATGGATGGGTGATCTGGTACTTTCACCAATTCCACTGTGTACTAGGTCATAAGTTACCAATGATTCAATCTTTCTTTCCTCTCCTCTCCTCTCCTCTCCTCTCCTCTCCTCTCCTCCCCTCCCTTCCCCTCCTTTCCCCTCCCCTCCCATCCCCTTCTCTTCTCTCTCTCTCTCTCTCTCTCTCTCTCTCTCTCTCTCTCCCTCTTGAGTACAGGGTCTACATGGTCTCACTACACAGATTGGACCCATAGTGATCCTCTTGTTTTTAGCCTCCCAAGTGCCACCACACCCAGTCTTAATTGTTGTCTCAGCGTGTCCTGGGGGTGGTCCCCCCTGCACAAAATGAGCCTGGGATCAAACAATGATGTCTTTTTGAGACAGGGTTTCACTTTGTAGTACATGCTGCCTTTGAGCTAAGTATCTGTATTAATTACCTAAAATGAGGGAAGGAATGGTTTATTTAGCTCAGTTACTGGAGGTTTCAAGACACTAGAGGAGAGGCTGGGGCACTGCCGTGTCCAGGATGATCCTTTCCCTTCCCTGAGAAAGCACAGCCTAGCTAGTTTAACGGTTTGCGTCTCTCTGGTCCCAACCCTCAGGCCCTGCCCTGGTCCTCTGGCCCCACTCCTCCAGCTGTGTCTGCCCTATAACTTACAAGAGGCTTTGGGAGGACAACTAGACACAAAGCATAACAGTATCCCAGGCTGGCTGGAGCTCCCCATATCTCAGCCTCTGCAGTGCTGGGATCACAGATGTGCACCACCACACTACCCTGGAATATATATATA